CATTACTGTGATTTACAAGACCCTGTCTTTGATCCCTAATACCCTGTTTCTTAAAGATCCCTTTTAATGTTATCCTTCCATTAATGTACGTGTCTCCCAAGTGATATGTTCCCTTCAAGATTTCTTACTAAATTTATGTGCTTCTATAAAATCAGTTTACTTTCAACTCCAGCCAACATCATTACTGAGGCTCTCATAAATATTAGTTGAAACTTACTTGTTTCACAAAACACAAATTGAAATAATTATATTAATGAGGTGCCAGTGTGGTATTCTTAGTAAATATAATTCATAAGTAACACAGTTTAGAATTAGTAAGAACTAAATGAATACGATAACATCTTTCAATGTCAGTCCAAGGTAGTCGTAGACTTTACAGTTCTTATTTATTGCCAGTTATGTACTCTGGACCCCTAATCTACAGAATATACTGAATGGTCAAACCATATGGCAAACTGCCAAGGATTTCTGTGCGCTCTACAGTTAAATTCATAAACATGTAATCTGTCTCCATAAACATTACTGCTACTAATTCACAACCCTTAATATACATGATATGATGTGTACACCAAATTTATTTAAATATCCAATTATGTACCTGTGTCATAGAAAGCCTCACTGCATAGGTGGTGGCTCGTGTGAAATGCATCGCCACTTTACTCAGCCAAGCCTAATGCTTTCACACTTCTTCCTGCCAAGATGAAATAAAATTCAATGCTGAAATGGCACTCACTTTACAAACACAGAACTACTGCCAAAAACATCAAACCAGAGCCAACAAACAAAAGTAGCCTGGGATCTAAGTTCTATTACATTCTAAAACAACAAATCATACTGTACTACAAACTAGTTACATGAACCAACAGAATATTGAAAGAAGCTCTGCTGCAGGTATGGATGTTAGGGGAAATAGGATGTGAGGATGGGAATATCCCAAGATTATATCAAATGGTGGACTTTATTCTTATCTCACTTAGAACATTTATTTTAAAAATATGGTACAAAGGAAACAGTATTACTGAATTGTACATAGCTATTCTCTTAAATTTAAATTAATAGGTCCATAGTGAGCCAATCATTGATAATTATGCAGTTTTATTACTTGATATTACCAGCTTACTAGCAGTTCATTGGTTATTCCTTGAAAATGGTAATAATTGTAAAGCAAAAAATGTACACGCATAAACAGGAAATGTCTTATCACAATGTGGGAATTGCCTGCATTCAAGCAAATGTTACAGTTACAGCTCAGGTACCATTGCTTAGCAACGATGAGTAAACAGTCGTTGCTATGTAAGGTCTACAATATGTGACTATGGGAAGCACCCACAGTGGACTGAGTGCTAGCCAATCGTAAGCTAGAAACCATTCGCTTCCTAGCAATGGCTGAGTAAACAGCCGGTGCTAGGAAAAGCCTGCAACAATATGGACAGATGTCGGGGTCATCAATGTGGGATGTCATTATATGAAGAGACAACCATTGTTAAACTGTTTTATAATATTGTCACATGTTGGGTATGTCACGCGACAAATAACTTTATGTGGGTCTCGGATTTAGTGAAACTTGACTTCTGGCCCAGTACTCCAATGCGACGTCTCAACTATCTTTGGCCATGGTTGGATCTCAACTGTCTCTGGCAGCGGCTTTCTGAAGACTGTCTTCTTGCTAACTTCTTCTCTCTCTGTAGCGCTCGGCTTATGTAGGTGTTCTGCGGACTGGATACCAGACACCATTCCTCACCGTTTCGTTTCTACTGTCCGCTGTTATGTAACGGGCACAACGAACTCTCTGCAGTTCATCTCCGGGGAGCCGCGTTCGTTGATTTGGGAACACTCCTTATAGATTACACCGGTAATGTGTTTCGTCTCATCCGTTGTTACTCAACGACAATTTGTTGCTATGATTTGTCGCTGCCGGAGCTCCACAATTTCCACGTATTCGTTGTCGTGGAAGGGTCCGTTCCGAATGTAGCGGTTGTCGTGGTGATGGACGTAAGGTAACACGTCACAATATTTATTACAGTTGCACAGCACATGCAGATGAACTTGAGTTTGAAGAATAATAACAATAGTGAACTCTGTGACTGGGACACACGGTAGCCTAGTTGGTTGAGGCACTATGCTACTAGTCAGAAGGTGGTGGAATCGAATCCCGATGAGGTCATTGGATATCTTTTTCAATTTACCTAATCCTTTCAGCCACACTATGGCCCTGGGGTCAACTCAGCCTCTAACAGAGATGAGTACCGGGAATATTCTTGGGGGTAAAGGGCGGCCGGCGCGTAGGGCTGACAACCTTACCACCATCTACGAGCTGACTGTCTAGAAAATGTGGGAACCTCAACATCTCACAACCCTATGGGTCTCCAAGGCCTGTTACAGGGATACCTTTACTTTTTACTTACTCCGTGACACCTTGAATGTTGTACTGAAACACAACTCTTAACGAGAACTGTAAACTTCCAAGTCCAAGTCACACTGCAAATGACGGCCAGTCAGTCTTTCTGTCTTGGTGTTGAGCCCCAGATGTTTTTTCCTTATATGAAAGTTACTGTCCTGTCCATTTGGGGTGCCCTCTCTGACGAGAGGTGGGGTCTGTCATTTGTCAGTCATAGTCCATATTAGTAAGTCCACTGTCAGTATTTACATATATTTACAAATTTAATCTTAATTCCTATTTCTTTGTACAATATATACAAGGCCTCTGTCAATGCAGGGAATGAAACCACAGATCTGCTGGCAAGAACAGGATCAGAACCAGCTTGCAACATCTCAGTAGGAGAGTATTGCTGGGAATGAAACCACAGATCAGCTGGCAAGAACAGGACCTGAACCAGCTAGCAGCATCTCAGTAGGAGACTATTGCTGGGAATGAAACTGCAGATCAACTGGCAAGAAGAGGATCTGAACAGCCGTTCATAGGACCTGAACCAGCTTGCTGCATCTCAGTAGGAGTGTATTGCAGGGAATGAAACCGCAGATCAACTGGCAAGAACAGGATCTGAACAGCTGTTCAGAGGACCTGTGGAGTTGCCAAGAAAGCGATCAGGGACTGGACTAGCAGAAATCACAAAAGACACCGGGATTCCATAACTGGACTCAAACAGGCAAAAGAATTTACATCAGGACCCTCCGCCAAAAGAACGAAGTACCTGTTAAAATTAAACAGAGATCAACTCAGATGGGTGGTAGGATTACTTACTGGACACTGCCACCTAAAACGACACCTTTCCAAACTGGGACTGACAGAGGACCCAACTTGTGAGAGGTGCCTACAAGAAGATGAATCAGTCACACACATCTCATGTGATTGTGAGGCTATAGCCTATTTAAGAATTCACCACCTGGGTCAATTCTTCATGAAACCAAGTGACTTTTATGACGTCCCTGTAAACAAAGGCCTACATTTCATTCGAAGTGTAGGGTTAATCCAAAGGGGAAGCACAATAGACCACTGAAGATCGCAGTGCTAGGGCCAGTTTTATTGCTCACCACTCATACTCATACTCACAGACCCAACTGGGACTCAAACTCCAACACATCGGTTGTCCAGCCTGTAGGCAGCTACTATACCGACTGCACTACTCTGGCTCACTTTCATAAAATGTAAACTGATACTATTTCATTATTATTCAGCCTAACAGTCTGTGTCGCCCTGTAAGTATGGATAGTAAGAAAACCGAACACGTGAATCTAAATTTCAATTATTTATATGAATTTGCCCAAAATCAGGTATTATGATTTGGGGTTAGTTTCATGGCTCTCTCATACAGGTCTACACATACAATGGCTTGATACTTTAAATTTACAACTGTTTTCTTCTTATTTATTTCACAATTCTCAAAAGCAAGGAAAACACTTAAAAGGTTACCAGCCACCTCTTTTTAGTCCTACTGTGGTATACACCCTGTTCCATCAGTTTCTATAGTATTTCCTTCCAATAATACACTGAAGCAACAGAGAATACCTTGTGACTGTTATAGCTATGCTGTGATTGACGGTTTCTGTTCTGTAGCACCAGCAACAATGCCATGAGATTATGCTTTGCATAGTTTCCAGTATCTTGTCTGAAACAATCCACGCTGCTGTACTTTATTCAAAGGATATTCTGCATTCTTTTACTGCTTACATTACCTTCTGGGAATTGATAATTTAAAAATAAGACTTCCGTTTCCATAATCCTATGTTTCTTCCTTCATTTATTTATTTCTGGTTTACTTAACGCTATCCCGATAGCATCGAATGGTAGGAAGACAGTGAACGTGAAGTGGAACGGCTGTAGAAGGAAGCGGTAGTGGCATACTCTTTTAAGTACTCATCCCGGGATTTAATCGACAAGTCTATTTTAAAAACAGACCGGCAGTTGATTGCAGGAAACGCTACTTCCTCTTTAGATTTTTTTTTTGGTTCGCAAGGCCTTCTGCATAAACATAAATATGACCCTTTCGTTCTCTTATGTAGTAAGTCGACATAATGTAAACTGAAAGCATACTATACACGTGAAGAGTGTTAATATGACAAAATTCAATTCTGGCCTTGAGTGACCTCGATTTTGGCTGATAAAAGGCATGATTTAAATACTAGTAACCAACTAACGCTGCAAACAGTAAAGTGTTCGAACCAGACTCTCATAACGTGTGCAGTCTTCAATCACAGTTCTCATACAAACAACAATTAAACAATAATTTTATCCAACAATACTTACTCCTTCAACACCACTGCCAAGGCTGCTACAAAGACCAGCTGGTAATTATAAGTCCTGCTATCTGTGGGGTACAGAGGTTAACTAACTTAACTAGAATGTTGTTGTGGTCGTTTTTTCATGGCGCCTCAATTGAACGCCATACTGTGACATGCGCAAAATGAAATTCATTTAATTTCAACATCAAGTTGACATCAACAGATATGCATTTCGGAAGATATATGGGAAATAGAAGTTTTACAGTAATTAAAATTTTCTTTATGTCACTACTAAAATAGCATTAAATAAAAATTATGAGAGCATATATGTTGAGAAGAGAAAATAAATTTTGCAGGGTCATGATACTTCAGCAAACATGATATATGAGTAGAGCACTGAATGGTATGCGCGCAGCTTCCAGTCAGGAGCAGATGGGCGTGGATGAAGACATCGTTAGTTATCAGATATAATCACAGGAGAAGAGTAAGCACATTAAAATTATGGTGTAATAACGTATCCTTTCCTTTTTATGAGTCTGTTTGATCAAATTTGTGAACAGTGGTTAATGACCTGTCTCTAGTGATCTGGCTGGAATGCAATTGTGACTTCACAGCCAAGAGTATAATTTTCTAACCTGAGACAGGAAAGAAGGTGTGCTGAGCATCAGTGCACTCAAGCAACTGACAAAAATAAAGTTACAAAAAATGGAAACTCATAATTATAACATGCACTAAGCTGCATAGCATTGAGTCACATACATGTATAACAAAAATTAAATTGTATCCTTATTCCCAATAATGATATAATAAACTATATGGGTATATTAAGTTATTATGTTTATACTATGCATTGTTGGCTCCATTCAAAATTAATACTGACAATATAACTTTTTGTATTTTGCAGCAGTAAACTGTGAAAGATGCATGATGATGTAACATGATGTGAAAAAATGAGTTTTAACCATACAAAAGAATGAGTGACACTCTACCATCATCACGACCAAAAATAGAAGTTGTTCGCCTTCCATCACACGAGCAAGCCAAACTTCGACCATTGTTGGAAGGCGGGGTACAACTTCGAGCTCAATTTCAGCACTTGCGTTATGGAGATTATGCCAGTTACAGTAGTTTGGATAATGGCAGCAAGCAGTGTTTCAGGTATAGAGAAAGAAAAAGTAATTTTTTTTAATCAGAACCTAAACAGCATAAAGTATTCGAAACTTTAAAAAATTCTTCAGAACTGTTTTTCATTGATTACAAAGCCACAGTATTTCTTCCTCAAGTGTAAATATAAGAATAACACTTTACTAGACCATATACATGCTCTTATATTGGATTTATTCCGTTTCCTGTTGATTTAACAAGACCATCACTGTCTTCAAGCTGTATACACGTATTTATGTATTGGTAAGGAAAAGGTTTGTAGATAATAGTGATATTGTACAGAAGTTACTGAACATGTCAGTAACTTTCAGGGTAGCATGGGTGCAGGGAAGTGGGGAACCAGATTCTGTCTCCCCCCTCTGGATTTTATGATAAAATTGAAGTTAAAAAGAGAAGTATACCAAATATTATACCAAAAATTAAAATTGTTTGCAACAATTATTCTTCCATCCTCAGTATCTTTGTAAATGAGTAAAAGTAGCCTTATATTTCCTATACATAAGGTTGTCAACAAATTTTTTTGGCTGCCCCCTCCATGTTGAAGAACCTTGGCAGCTTCCTCAAATCAAGAGTTTCACAGAAATCTGTTGCACAAGACATTTACCGAAGTTGGTCTTCAAGGGACCAGTATGCTGCAGTATTTTATTACTCTTATGTTGACCGTGTTCAGTTTGAAACACTGACTGAACATAATTGTCCTGTCACCTTCATATTTCATGCCTACAGTTGGGAATTCAGTGGACGTTCATGTGAACAAGAAAAAGTATCTGTTAGCATTGTCCATTTATACCTACAGAATAGTCACTCTGGCTAAACATATTTTTATTTAATTTGATACATTATTAATATTATATTATGATCCATACTGCATGCGGTAGCATAGTTGGTTGAGGCACTATGCTACAAGCTGGCAGATCACATGTTCAAGTCCTGAAGAGGTCATTGGATTTTTTTCATTTGACCTAATCCTTCCAGCCACACTATGGCCCTGGGGTCGACTCAGCCTCTAACAGAAATGAGTACCAGGAATTTTCCTGGGGGATAAAGTGCAGCTGGCGCGTAAGGCTGACAACCTTACCACCATCTTTGAGCCAATTGTCTTGATAATGTGGAACCCTCAACATCTCACAACCCTATTGGCCTCCATGGCCTATTAAATCTGCTTAGTGGGGGGTGGAGTCCAACTGGGTCCACTCAGCACGGCGGCCACTGATTGGCCTATTGTAGCCTGCCCCAGGTGAGAATTTGGTGGAATTAAGATTGGCAAGGGAAACTGAAGTACTTGGAGAAAACCCACCACAGCGCCAATTTGACCACCACAAATCCCACTTGACCAAACCCGGGCCGCCGCCGTGGGAAGCCAGTGACTAACTGCTTGAGCTATGGCACAGCCTTCCATGGCCTGTTACAGGGATAGCTTTACCTTTACCTTACGACTTAGTTTGGACAGTTGTTTTTACATTAAGTAGCTAAGTTTTACTGGAGGACATTTCATGATCTTACTGCTCTTCTCTGAACAAAATCAAGATCCAGAAGAATACTTTCAAATTATATCGGCCAGTAAGGATTAGAAAACCAAAATTACTTTTTAATAATATGTCGCTTTATATATTCATTGAAGAGTGAAATGTGTGTCAGAGTTTGTACAATTTAGTTACACTAACATTTTCTGCCATACATATTTCTTTGATATATGAAGATATTTTGGAGGAAATAATATAGTTATCCATATCTAATTACAAAGACACATCTGCATTTCTACCCCATGTGAAAATAATATCAGGCATGATGAGAACCATCCCTTGGGATATGATAGCATGAAGTCTTTTGGAAGTTCACAGACACTTTGGAGGAAAGCACTGCCTCCATCTTCAGTGTCAAAGAGCAAGCCAATAAACCAGCCAATGAGAAGCAGGTTACATACCACATGTGAGCTCTTGCTTGTTAATTGCATGGCTCACCCTTCTAATCTGTAGATGGAGGCAGTGCTTTCTTCTGAAATGCTGGTGAACTTCTACTGGGCTATCATTATCACATGCCAGAAGACAGTCTTAGTAGTCATTGCTGTGAGAACCTCAAACCCAACATCAGGCACGTATGATTAGGTGAGAGTTAATTTTCTCACGTTTAATGGATAAAGAGTTCAAAGTTCAGAGTTCCTTCGCTCAAAGCTGCAATTGAGACAAGGTTTGACTTCATTTAACTTAACAATTATGAATTTACATGCCCATACTAAATTATTTCATACAGGGCATAATATAGACATAATATATGTCCAATATTTCTATTTCCTGAGGAGAAATTGTTTACACAGGGATGCGTCTAAGAAGGTGAAGATAAATATTTCCAGCTGAAGAAGTCCACTGTTTTTTGTTGATGTACATTAGAACACAACACTGCTTAAAAGATAAAATGAAGAATTTGTAGATCATTTTGAAACATGATTTCTTATATGTTCTTCATTGATTTGATACATAACGCACAATTTGTTAATTGTAACACTTTAACAAGACATTCTGAAATGTGTTAGTGGTTAATTGGTGGTTATTGGCCAAGGGTCAGTTATTATTTTGATGGTTTTTTATTTATGATGGTGAAACCCTTATTTTAGGATTAACACTGAACAAAAGTTATTGAATGACAATGTTTGATTCGAAAATAGTAACAAATGCATGAAAAATGTAGTCTAGTCACTATACTGACAGTTATCCCAGCTCATAATACCACATTATATGATTTTAAAATTTGAATGTAATATGAGGAGGAAGCATGAAAATTAAAGTGAGGATTCTTGCTGCTTACCTGCTGGGGAAGTTCTGACATTACAGTTTTGCTTTACAATTTGTAGGATTCACAATGTCTCTCTTGATGCTGACTAACTCAGTCATGGTAAAGGTTCAAAATAACGATGCGTTATAGCTCTACTACACTATGATGTTCTTTATCACATTTCTATGACAATTGAATTCATATTTAATAAAACATTCTCTTTAGAAGTTGTCACTTGTCCAAATAGGCGGCATGGATGTATTTTAGAATGGCTGTGACTTACCAATTCCACATGTAACCCCTTAGATATGTAGGAAAATTCTAATCACTAAGTGACTATAATAATTAGAGTCAAAGTATATTACTGTTCAACTTAAGTCTCAAGAAATTGTCTCACTTATCTTTGGACTAATTCTTAAATGTCCTTCTGAAATTTATTCAGAATTGCTCTGTAAGTGTACTCTGTAAGAGGAACCGATTCTTTTGTTCTCACTTAAGAATAAGCACTTATCAGTTGAATTCTCCACCCCACCTCATTCTTGAGGAGGAAATTTAACATAACCTGGTCCTAGTAGGATAACGTATATGCAATTAATTACCCATGGGAATATATGAATGTATGAGGGGAAGTCAATAATTATCCGCAATGCAGTTGTATTTGTGTTTCTGTTGGCAGGACTGTCATTTTGTGCAGCATCGCCATGCTTGGTTTCCTTGTCATTATTTTTGCGCAGGTTTGATGTTGCTAGGTCAGTTCCATCGTGACTGCCTTGCCGTTAATCATGGCTGCTCCGCTTTCTGTTTGCACCAAAGAAGAGCAACTTTCAGTGATCCGGTTTTTGTGGTCGGAAGGTGTATCAGGGGCCACAATCCATCAAAGACTTTCAGTACAATACGGGAACAGTGTTTTGCCGCAACGGAGTGTCTGTGAATAGATTGAAAAATTCAGAAATGGTCGCACAAGTGTTATGCATGAGGAAGGAGCCGGACGTCCATCCACGGCCACAAATGAGGACAACATTGAGCGTGCAGGTGACATGGTTCTGTTAGACAGACGAGTGACTATTGATGAAGTGGCAAATCGTCTGCAAATTAGTCATGGTTCTGCCTACGAAATCATCCTCAACAGACTTGGGTTTCATAAAGTCTGTACAAGATGGGTCCCAAAACAACTCACAGTGTTGCATAAACAAACGCGCTTGGACATCTGCCAACAACATTTGGATCTCTATGGTAAGGAATGTGACGTCTTCTTAGGCAGAATCATCACTGGTGACGAAACATGGATCCATCATTGTGAGCCGGAGAGTAAACAGCAATGGAATGGAAACATCCACAATCGCCCAGCAAGAAAAAGTTCAAAAGCCAACCATCTGCAGGAAAACTGATGCTTACAGTTTTTTGGGACTCACAGGGCCCAGTACTGGAACATTATCAGGAGAGGGGCACAACAATAAACAGTGCTCGTTACAGTGAGATGCTTACTGACAATCTGAAGCCTGCAATTCGAAGCAAACACCGAGGACTACTGTCGAAAGTGTTGTGTTGTTGCACGACAATGCCCGTCCACATACTGCTGCCTACACTGCTGAAACCCTCTGGAAACTCAAGTTTGATGTACTGGCTCATCCTCTGTATAGTCCTGATCTCGCCCCTTCTGACTACCACTTGTTTGGTCCACTCAAAGGGGCATTAAGGGGCCGCCGATTCACCTCGGACCAAGAAGTGAAGGAAGCGGTGCATGCGTGGCTCGCTACTCAGCCGAAAACCTTCTTTTCTGAGGGCATCAGGAAGCTTGTGCAATGATGGACCAAGTGCATTGAAAAGCAAGGGGACTATGTTGAAAAATGATGCTAATGTAAGTTTTCTATTTGTATTGAAATAAAATTTATAGCTACATTGCGGGTAATTATTGACCTACCAACGTATATTCCTCTGTCTTAAATTTATTTCCCTTCTCTGGACACGGCTTATGACATCTGTTCTAATTGTTTTTATGGTCTCATAGAGAATGTTTCTTCCTCCCCCTTTGAAAGACTGTTATCCACAAATGTTGAGAAATTATATTTTTTTGACAAACATTTAATATAAAATGTGTTTTAAGTTTATTCTTTGATATCAATGCTGTAAGGGAAAGTAAAATTCATTTATGGTGAAACAAATTCAGATTGCTATGTGACAGGGTTTTGTTTTTGATTAGATTTTGTGACCATGAATATATGGGACATAAGCCACCACTGGCAACCAAGTCACTGGACAACATCTTTGCAAGACAGCTGACTTATGGTACAGAACAAGGAAGTCCTTTCCTGTGGCAAGACGCAACCCGTAGTGAGGAGCAGCTCTATCATGCTCCACACACGTTCTCTGGAACAACATGTTCTGCCAATAAAGCTTCTCGCCTTTCTGGAGCACGGTTTGTAGAAGATTCTGGGTTTATATGGTTTGAATTTAATTTCCATAGAAAGGTATGTAACGTGATCTCTTGACATTAAGAGATGAACAGACTGAGGGTGTTTGAGAACAAGGTGCTGAGGAGAATGCTTGGACCAAGATGGATGAAATGATAGGAGGTTGCAAAAAAGTGCATATAGAGACACTTCATAACTTGTATTCTTTGCCAAGTAAAATCAGAATGACCAAGTCAAGGAAGATCAGATGGACAGGGCCTGTAGCACACATGTGGCGAAGTTGAATCCATATAGGATATTGGTGGGAGAGCCTGAAGGAAAGGGACTACTAAGAAGACATAGACATTGGTGGGAAGGTAATATTAAAATGGATGTTAGAGATATAGGATGGGATGGTATGGACTGGATTCATCTGACTCAGGATAGGGACCAAGGGATTAGTGAAGGGCTGTTCTATACATGGTAATGAACCTTTGGTTTACATAAATGTTGCAAAATTCTTTGAGGCGCTGAACGACTGGTGACTTCTCAAGAAGGGCTGAGCTCCATTTAGTTAGTCAGTTAGTTAGCTAGTTAGTTAGGCAAACTTCTACTAGAATGTCATTTGTGCAGCCACTCATTAATGAATTCTCATTCATTATGGTGCATTTTCTCACTGCATGGCTGCCTGCAAGACACTGAATATTTTCCTTCCTACAGCACTGGCAAGGAGGCCATAATTTTTCTTCAGACCTTCTTATATGTATTATCACTTGTTTGTCTTTCACAAGTACAGTAGAGGGGGCCTGCACAAAGGCACCAAGTTGCACCTACAGTTTTCCTGATAATGCTCAGAATGTACTTCCAATTATACTACTATATGCACATGATCCATTAGACATGATGGATGAAATAATTTGTTATTCTTTTCCTCTGTCTCTTTCATACTGTTTTCTCCTTTCTCCCTTTATCCATTTAAGCTTTTTGATCCCACATATTTGTCTGTCATATTGCTATTACCCTTCCTCTTCTTCTTCTTCTTTCTCTCATGTGTTAAAACAGTTCACGCGCTCCAATTCTACTATTCCTCTATATCTTTATCTTGTTATTTACTTTCTCCCTTATTACCATTCTTTTTATTTGTCCAGCCCGTGGTCATTCATGGCAAGTATTATATTGTGCCTTGTATTCCTGAAAACATCTAGAGCTAAATTGGAACTATTGTTCATGTTTATTATTTTGGTCTCTAGTTGCTGGACTTGATAGGAAGTGGGTTCAGCAACATTTCAAAATTAGTTCTGGGCAGATACAGCAAATATTTCTCAAAACATTAAGTGTATATGAACTGTCACTAATGAATATGGTCAGATCATCATTCTTGACAGAACTATATGAGATAACCCTGATAAAATGTACGGATGGTTAAATGTTAGGATACTAAGGTACTCATTAAATACATTAATAACGTTTCTCAGATTACTTCTTTGTGTAGTGAAAGTTAAATTACCTGTATTGTTATTCTAAAGGATGTGAATTATGATTTGTTCCCTACTAGATCACATATATCAGCACTTCTGAAGAAATTGTCTCTCTGGCCACATCATAAGGCTGCTTCACGAGACAGTCCCTGGGTTGTGGTAGAATTTTCTAAATGTCCAGATGACACTGGGAGGGTGAACTCTGTTACTTCAGATCAAAGTTTGGATATGCCTGTAATGGCAACTGGACCATGGAGAGAGCAGGCAGCAAATAATAAAAACATTCAGGAACAGGTATATATAAATTTCAGATGGTTTGACTTAATACAGAAGGTTCATAAATTCAGTATTGATGTCAGAATGTTTAGATTGGTGTCTATCTTAATCCATAAGTGAACAATTTTCATGTCAGAAATTATGATTTGTTGTCAGATAACTTATATATGTATTTTCAAAGGATCAAGTACCAAATGCTGCCACTACAGTTTTTGATTAAAGTGGCCATAGACTGCATTTGTAGAAATTAACCCCAAGGCTGGCAGAATTTACTGTACCAATATTTGTTCTTTTTAATTCATAAAATGCTGCATAAAGATTTCTGTATAAAGATATTTATTAACTACTACTGAATTTAAAATGGCTCATATATATATTAGTTTACTTCTATCAAACATAACAGTAAATACAGAATTTATGCAGTATATTGCTACCATACATTCCTTACCTACATTACCTTACTGTAAGTTTTATATTTTACAAGAGTCTTTCATAGCAGAAAGTTTAATGATCCTATATAAATGGATCTAGCATCTTCTGTTTGAATGTCTGCACTGTCAACACGCTGATATTATCGTTGGTAATGAATTGAAAGGTAAAAAATGTGGCGGCCTTTAATGTCTTGAAAATTTGTCTGTTTATTTGGAAGTTACAAGTATTACACATGCATGAATACTGTATTCCTATTATACCAGCAGGCTAAAAGAAACACACAGAATTTTATGATTCACAAAAATTTTTTGGAAGGTTTCAGGATCCATCTACATGTAGGTTGATCAGAGTTTATAATGTGAAATTTTAACATAGAATGTATTGAGATTTATATTTATTTTATTTTCTTTAATGTTTAATGAGCACATATGCATTCATTAAAGAATATAAGATTGAGATTTGTTTTGTACTATACATACCTTATCTCAGTCATGTTACGTTATATCTTTGGTACCTGCTGACTGATATGTTATTATTGCTGTTTCTTATATGCTTGTTGTGTCTAGGTGTCTTGTGTTGGGTCTGATAGACCTTGCAAGCAAGGAGAGGACAAGCAACATCGATCATTAGGTACTGGTCTTGCCGTGAGAAAACGTCGGGCTGCTTTCAACACAGGGTGAGTGGGTTGATGTAACTAACAGAATGCACCAGAATTCTATAAATCCATTAATAATGTGGTGGTATGGGTATACAGTTATTGAAGAAAATGAGCAGTGGGAAGAATAACATATACAAGGACTCTGTAGTAACTCTGCACCGGAAAACGGGCCTGCTTAAATCAACAATTTTCAGTCTGTAGAAGGAAAGGAACTGCTGAGATATCATATTTTTTCTCTGAAGCTGGGTATATAATTGATCTTAACTTATTTTTTCCACTCCAAATTACCTGTAGATATATCTTATATAGTTATGAATGTAAACCTTCTAAAACTATTATAATTGTTGTATATAAGAGTAACAGTGTCTCTAGGTTCTTTCTGTGGGCAAATAATTATTGGTAGATATTTTAAGCAAAAATTGTTGAAGAATGGCTAGTCCTTTAGTGCCAGTGTCCATATATCTATTGTTCTCAATACCATTATTTGAATTTGAATTTATTTACATTCCATAAATCCAGGTACAGATTGGCACCATAGGATATAGAACAAGTCAAGTACAAATACACAATATCTGTACAATAATAGCCTACTTACGTTTCATAAGCAGGGCAGGAAAACTGGTTTTCACACAGAGAAATCTTTGAATAGGTAAATGTGAATGCACTGTACTGATGGTAGTTAACTTGCTGAGTTATGTGTACTTTCCCATAGCCGTAGAATTTGCAACATAATAACGTGTTCAGTTTTCTTTTCCAAGACTTTTCCCATGATTATTCATACCACCATGTCTAAATATGCAGGCCTGTGTTTTAAATGGAAAATGTTACTTTCCTTTGCTTTAAATAATGACATGCACTCATTGTAAAATGTAGAACATTAAGTAACATTCTCTAAAGTTTGAATGAAGTTCTAGTTATGCATGCATCGTGCCATGAAGAAGGATTGAGAAATGGAGGTATAGTTTCATGTGTTCTTCACCTTGGCACTAGATGGAGGTGTGTGATCAGCTTCACATTTGGGTCACTTTACCCCTTGTGAAATCGTCTTTGGTATTCATTGGATAGGAGGTTTATGGTGCTCCAGATCTAATCTGGATGCTGTGGAGAGCAGAGAAATTCCACGCCCCTGCAGACTATAAGACGGTGACTCCTATGTCATCCTTTCTGTAACAACTTCAAAATCTTAAAATAATCAACTATTTTCTTTCATGATTCTGTTTAAATTTAATTATAGTATTTGATAAAGGCTATAATCATAGCAATCACTTTAATTAACCGATTTCTTACAGATGATATTCTTTTACCTAGTTAATCATTTAGGTGACATGACTTTGTACTATTAATTTTAATCCTTAAAAAGCAAAATTAGCTTCACACATTGCATACATTTACTGTGTTAGTTCTGTGTATGTTTGATGTTGTGGTTCATAACAATTATTAGTTTTTAATCTCAACATATGTGTTATTTGCAAGAAGCTTGGTTTGTGTGCATAATTGTAAAACACCATGAATCCACTTTCTGTATGTTTAGACTTCACATGAAGTACAAAGGCAAAAATAATACCGTCTAATGTGACTATTTAAGTTTTATCACTTGAGGATTTATCTCCCTTACATGTTTCGATCCTTACGGATCATCCTCAGAGGGTATCAGTACTTTCGGAAACTACTATTACAGTAGATGTTAATTGTATGGATACACATATGATGCCTAAAATGCACAATATACGCAATGTTCAACCTTCCATATTCACGGCGGCCTTCTTGGTGTTAAAACTTTTTTAAAAAAGTTTGTTTTAAAAACTTTCAAGATCAAGCTTAAAATTTATGAACCATACGGGTTCGCATCAAATCTCCTATTGTTATTTGTGGAGGTGGCTGGTCTTGTGCCGCCCGTTTATCTTGCGAAAGGAGATTCTTAGTATTTCTGTGTTTTATGCATGGCCTGTGTAAACAACACAGCACCAAGAAGGCCGCCATGAATATGGAAGGTTGAACATTGTATATATTGTGCATTTTAGACATCATATGTGTATCCATACAATTAACATCTATTGTAATAGTAGTTTCCGAAAGTATTGATACCCTCTGAGGATGATCCGTAAGGATCAAAACATGCAAGGGAGATAAATCCTCAAGTGATAAAACTGAAATAGTCACGTTAGACGGTATTATTTTTGTCTTTGTAATTGTTAGTGTGACGGACCAGAATGAAACAAATCAAATTCACATGAAGTGTTTACTTTTTGTTCACTAATAATTACTTTGTACTTGTCATGTATGTTTCTAGTGATTGGGCACATATTTAAGAACTGGCAAATGATTGATTAATTAATTAACAGTTTTGTTTGGTTCATAGCACTAATAGTAACGTTACATGACAGAAAGAACTTTCTTTGTCATATTAGAAATATGGGTGAATCTTACACACTTTTTAACACTGAATTAACAAATGATCTCAGAATTTGTATATTTCCTCCAAATTTTGATTGAATCTAATGAAATTTTGGACAAATTTAAAGATATAAGAATGAGATCAAAGTAAAAATTTAGTACTGAAGTTACCTAAAATGTAGCAATAGTACTGATGATTTACATTTGTATTTTGTCTGTTGGGTATACCTTACCAATGTTCAGCAGTAGTCAGTGAATATGCTAGGGTTGCATTTGCTCTCATATGATACTAGAGAAATTGGAGCCCCAGCTCTGGTTCGAACACTGTGGACAATTCTTAATGGAAGCATTTCCCATGTGCGACATTAACAACGCCCACTTCTTGTGGGAAAATTGATAACCTATGAGCCCAAAAAAAGGATTTTTAGTGACAGCTTGTATCCCATAAATTTGTAGGTACTGGAAAGTTCCTCAGCACATAAGTTGTTATTTTCTGCCTTGAAGTTTCCAGGGAAATTTTTAGTCATTATTTTAAATACTCTCCTAGTTCCACATTCTATCCAATGGGTACCGGGAGCTCTTTCCCAGAAGGCAAAGCAGCCAGGACGTGAAGCTGTCCACTCACCTGCAACTAGTGCCGAGGTCAAGAAAATGTGGATCTATATTCACCCACCCATACACCTTCATGGAGTAGTGCTTAATTATTTAAGCACAGGGACAACTTTACCCTTACCCAATTCCTCCTCCAGATTTCATGGTCTTGATGATCACAAGCAATTTCTGTTTTAAGTAGGGATATCCATTGGCATTTCGATCTGTAATCTTAATACTTTTTTTGAAAGAGCTTAGTTTGAGAATACTGTTTTCATTTTTGTAATTAGCAGGTCACATAAATATAACTGTGTGACAAAATCTTTGTTGAACAGTGTAATTATCAATCAAATAACAATGAATTATATTCAGTCAATAATAAAAACTGCATTTCCAGTTCATAAAATTCAGTTGAGATTTATTTAGTGTTGGATATGAGAGGAATGACTAACACTGAACTAACTTATAAGTAAGTAGCTTTCCAAAATAGACAATTTAACATCTGAGAGTTGTAACCATTAGAGCATGATGCTTGTGGCCGAATCTCACATTATTTCAGTTTTAATCTTCTGTAGGTGCATTTTTTCAGTCATCCAGCTTATTGCCAGAATTCACCCAGTCTGGCGATTCTGCCATGCCTTGTCCCTTACAGATGGAAATATTTAGCTGATGAACTGAGGATGAGGGGAATCACAGAAGAAGAGCAGTGTTAGGGATGTAGGGAAAGTAAGGTCTGGAAGAAATTAGCATGTGCTTTTCTCTGCCAGCACCATCACACACAAAGTACAATGCATAATTTTAAATCATGAAGAATAATGTGGAATGATGTTTTGTACTTTCTTTAAAGAAGGCACATCATGATTTAATTGGGAGGCAGGATAGCACAGTAGGTATAAAGACTGGCTACAGGCTGGACAAACAAGGGGTCAGAGTTCAGTTCCTGGTTGGGGCAAGAATTTTCACTTCTCCACGTTATCCAGACCGGTTCTGGGGTCCATCCAACCTCCTATCCAATGAGTACTGGGAGCTCTTTCCCTGGGGGTAAAGCAGCCGGGACGTGAAGCTGGCCACTCACCTCCGACTAGTGCCAAGGTCAAGAAAATGTGGATCTATACATCCACTCCCCCATACACCTTCATGGTGTAGTTAAGCACAGGGACAACTTTACATTTTACCTTTACTATCATGATTTAATTAGTGTTAATGTAGACCAATATAAAGTCATGTAATGAAAATTACTTCCCATTAAATTGAGCGAAAATATAGAAGCTGGTAATAGTAGTTCAGTATACACATATGTGAATCTGTCTACTGTTGTTGTTTGGTTGTGGTATGCTTATTGGTTATTGTGTACTAATGGGACATGCTTATTACTATGAATTCCTCAACTCACACTCATTAATTAGGGAATACAAAATTAAGGGTGCTTCCAGGTGATGAAGATGTCTATATGACCACCAACCACACAGTAATTTGTGGAAGACAATACCCTCTATCAACATCTTATGTGTTGATTTTATTCTTTATGGTTTGTTTTTCAACATTGTCAGCGGCTCAGATTACATGGAATCAGATGATAGGATGACTGGCAATACTTAATTTGGAAGATGTGGAAGGGATGATTATGGCCTAATTGAGGTACTAAGGAAGACCAGTAACAGTCTCAGGATATTTAGTTTCTGGCTTGAGATTTAGCCCCGGACATCATGGAAGGTATAAAATACAAGTACTACCCACTCATCCACAGTGTTCAATCTGTAAATATTAAACATTTAGATTATTCTACATAGGACGGTATGGAAAGGAATTAGCGCTTATTACGGTAAGGACACAGTCAAACTGTAGCCAGAAAGCATTATCAGGCATTTCCCTCATACTCTGAACTTTCTCAGTGAAATCCAGTGTTTGGCATTTTCTAGGACAGTTCCGAGAAGAAGTGCTGTGACCTGCATCTCAGAAAATCATAAATTATCCCAAACATTGTCTTGTCAATCAAATGTATAACTACTCCGTTCCCTATCAAAATCAGAAAG